TAATACTAGATTCATGCTACTTGCTAGGTGTTACCATGATATGTGGGTTCATAAATTAAAGGGTTAATTCATGAATAAGAGTTAATAAGATTTAACTCAAATTACAAAGTGTTGTAAACCCACTACTAGTATTAAGGTGAACCTAAAAGGTCACACTAATTATGAACAAAGGTAAAGATTGTATTTCTAATGGTTAGAATTAATTGATAAATATCTAATTTGATTAGATATCAATTAAAGGAATATATTAATCAATAAGATTGATTAATTACATTTTGGATATTACTTTAGTAATTAAGGTAATTACTAAATTAATAAAGTTGAATTTTAAAATAGGATTTTAAATTTCAAAAATCCAAAATAATAATAATATGATTATTATAATATTGGGAAAATGATATAATAATAAAGTCTTGAGAAAGATTCTCAAGATTTATTATCCAATTATTATTTATATCTTTAAATATGATTTAAGGATTAAAATAATAAATATGATTATAATAAAATGGTTGTTGATGGTTGTTTGAACTACTTAACATATCTTATTATTTTCAAAGTCAAAAGTTAGTAAATACTATTTAAATAAAATTTGATTTTATTTAATATTACTAAATGTTGATTATTTTATGCTAAAATGTTTAGTATAAATATATGCAAAATGGTTTTGCATTTAAGTGAAGTTTTTGATCCTAAATTTCTAAGTGTTAGAAAGAGAAGAAAGTGTTCTTCATAAAACTTCAACAAAGAGTTCTTAAAATTCCCAAATAAAATTCATAAATATTCCTATACAAGAAAACCGAGTCTTTTCTACTAGCGAAGGAAAGTCGTCGGAACCGGGCTTCATAGGGTGGATACGTTTAGAGGGAAGACACTTGGATTCCTCTAGCGAGTAACCTCAAGTCGTTGAAGTTACAACCGGGAACCGATTCCCTCATCCATCATCAATAGTGAAGGAGTTCAAGACATTCGGTAAATATTTTTACTAGTATTTACTTTATAGTAACAAATCAAAATTTGTATATGATGCATGTTTTAAAGATGACGATCAGTTAATTCGCAATTAGTATGTACGGGTGTTGTATTTATACGATAAATACTTACTTTAAAATTTTAAATTCCGCTGCGTACAGCCCGTACGGTACTATCGAACCCAACAGCGGATTGAAGTGACGGGCTGAGAGCTGCACACTGAAAGCCGCGAGCAGGGTGTGACTCACCGAAAACTGAAGCTGGTGAAATGTTGCGGCTCCGACGAAGGTGACTGACCGATGATGCGCCTCGGTGAGGAGAACTCAAGGGTGTCGCCGGTTCGACGTGATTCGGCAGAAATAGCCGAAAAATTAAGGAAGATGACCGGAATTGACCACCCATCTTCTAGATCCATAAAATTTGACCGCAAAATTGACCAACTTCCCGAAGGAATTTTTGCTTGAAAATTTAAGGTCGAGATGAGCATGAGAAGAGCTTCACGGTGATGTAGAGATTTTCCCGATCGAAGAATTTTTTGCGGTGGTTGGTGGCGGAGGCGGCGGCGGCCGGCGGCTTCTGGCGACGGCGGCCGGCGGAGGTCAGGCTCTATAGATTCGCCTCGTCGAGAGGATTTCGGTGGTACCCTCGGATTTTTCAAAGCCCTCACGGATCGTCGGGAAAATGTATTTGAATGTCCAATTTTGACTAATTTTTTGCTAGATCTGGAAACTTTGACCGCAAAATTGACGGCCTTCCCGGAGGAATTTTCGCATGAAATTTTAAGGGGAGATCCACCTCGAAGAGATTTATCCAATGACGTAAAGAATTTTCCGATCAGAACACTTTTTCCGGCGGCCGGCGGCGAGGGTGGCGGCGGCCGGTGGAGAGGAAGGAGCTTGCTAGAAGATTTCTCGAATTTTTCAGTCGGAACTCCGTTTGGCTTTTCTAACGGGTCCCACAGACAGCGCCAATGAAGTGAATAAGATTTCACCCGGGCTCCTTCAACTCGAACGGCCACCGTACTTGCAAGAACCGAACGCCGGGAGGGGTCCCGGCGTCGGGCCTCCGACGCTCAAGTCAATATCACTCCAAATCCCAAGAATATAATTATGAATGTAGAGAGAGTGAGAGAATGGGATACCTTAGCCCTCTTTTATAGGGGGAATGTACCTTATGGCCCAAGTTGGGCTTGTCCAATAGCATCATGCCACGTGTCTTACCCAGGCTTATTCTTCAATATATCCCCTTTGTATCCCTTAAGACTGGTCTAGTATATAATATCATATATCAGGCCCTAACAGGCCAAGAGAGAAAAAAAAAAGGAAAATAGGAAACATACCTGTCGTCGTCGCCTTCACCGGTTAACTGCCGGAATCTGGTCACCTTCGTCGGTTAACTGCCGAAATCTGGTCGTCGTCTCGGGTCGAAGAAAATGCACAGGTCAATTTTGATTTTGGGTAAGTAGATTATGTGTAATTGTGAAATTTATACATAATAAACTCTAGCTGCAATTTGAATTTCCTATTTTTTCCTGAACTCGCCTCAAAATCTTAAGGCGTCGCCTCAGACTTTGTAGCGCTACATCAGAGGCGACGCATTTTTAAACATCGCCTCGCCTCAAGGGTATGAGGCGACAGAGCCTCGCCTCGCGCCATGGCGCGCCATTTTAATCACTGGGTGAGAAGACGTACGGCCGCCGGGGCCGTACGTTTTTTGGGCCGTCCGGACCGGCCGACCGCCGCATCCGGAGGCAACGGCCGGACGCGGCAACAGTTTTATAAAAAAAAATTAAAAATAATTTACAATAGAAAAAAAAATTATCTTGCCGAAGAAGAATCTTTTCCCATGTCGTAGGATTTTTTTAACATTTTTTTGAAATTTTTTGGAAACTCGAATGGCTCGTTGAAAGTTCGAGAATTTAGAGAAAGAGAGTTTAGAGAGATAGAGAAAAAAGGTAAAAAGAATAAAAAAGGACAGTGAATAATAACAGAGGCGATAGAATAGTAAATGGTATATCAAGAGATAGATCTGACTACTTATTTGAAACAAGTTGTACCGACAAAAGTCCAAAGAACAAATCTCAGTAAATAATTTAATAAAAAAGAAAAAAGAGGACACGACTCCCCATGAGACATCTAAACCCTGGACTTTTTAGCACAAAACTAAACCGATTGATAAGTGAACTCAAATCTCAGCACAAACATTACACAACCACACACACAACACAACCATCCCAATCTCCCAAAAGACACATACACACAACAACAAAAAAAACAACCAAAAAAAAAAAAAAAAAA